CCTAGTTCGACCCAGTTTGCCGCGATGCGAGTCGTGACCGTCAGACCTGCATGCGCTCTTGCATTAGTGCCGTGTTTCTTTAGCAGTGCTGAATAAAAAAACAACCCACCATTACAGTTCACCTTGGTGTTGTTTTCGCGTATGCTCATGCTTTTCATTAGAGCCAAACTTGGCCTCAACTTAGACAAGCCGTAGCAGTCTGGCAAATGTATACATTTCTCTAGTGTCGCTGTGTTGGTCACTCCAGCCTCTGTGATTTACTGGCATTTTAAAAGAACATACCGAAAACATTTTACTGGTCCTAACGTCTCGTAACATGAAAACGCAGGGTTTTTTTTTCGCCCTCTCTCTCTATGTTTCATTTGCACGCTTCTTGGATTTCATCCCCAAAGGTTTTCAGGTTTCATCAGGGGAGTCAATTTTTTTCTTCAAGTTTTCAGGAATTTCAAATTGTTCGCAAACTGCGCTGATTTTAATTAAAAAATCACCGAAAACCGCTCTGACACTTCTTGGAAACCGTGGGCCGCCTCGGCCGGTCCTCGCAGGCAGCTGGGCTGGGGTGCACTTGAGGGCCGGGGCGTGCCGTGCGTCGAATGAGGGTCCGCGCTGTCTCCGTTGATCTGTAAGCAGGGCAGAGATGCTGAGAACGCTAGGGGTCACGTGACGCCCCCCAACCCCCCACAACCGTCCACACCGTCTCCATTACTTGAATTCCACATCTGTGGGTCATGGTCAGCTGAGGCACGGAGGCGGTGAGGTTAGAGGCGGAAAGGAAGTAGTCAGGAATGAGCTTCGCGATTGCAAAGTTTTCTGGGAACGTTTTTTCGGAGATGGCGTTTTGTGGGATGATTCGGGAATGGACGGGGCGTTGTGTGGGGCCTTTTAAGTGTGCAAAACACGAGTGACCATGAGCCGGTGACATCAATTCCACATTGACTTGATTGAGGCCAGTTCTACCATGGGATGACCACTGTTCACTTTCGCACAAAGTGATTCTCACGTCGAACTGATCCAAAACCACGATTTATGCTCGTACTTTCACAATCAGAATCTTTATTTGTCCTGGAGAAAAAAATCTGATGTCCAGTAAGAGCACGGGGTAAAAACGTTACAACAACAAACGCTACAAAAACACGATAGGAGTGCAAAGTACAATAAAGGTAAATAAACAATCTAAAACATACAAATAAAATGAAACCATCCCTATCCTACCAGACAAAGCCCACTGAGATATTAACTTATTTTTTTAAAAAGCGACCTGGCCACAAATGATTGCTCAGTGGCTTATCGTTTAGACATTTATAGCAGCAAAATGCCCAGCACTTTCCAATTGCAAGTCAAGCGCCTTCATCCACAGAGCGACTGATCTACATTACCGATGAAGGGTGATTGCTAGATAATGTTGGTGATATTATTCTATCTTCAGTTGCGGTGTCCAACGTGTGGCCCAAAGAATTAGGATCAGAATTTTTATTTAGACTGTAGGAATCCGATGAGCTATGAAGCTTTTTTCCACGGATGTCCACTATGGGCCGGTCAGCAAGTCACAGCAGCAAACGATACATAAAAACGATAGGGAGTACAAAATACATAAAATGGTAAGCAAGTCACTAAATACAAATAAATAATCAATGCGTTAATTATATCATTCCTATTGATCAAGTTCGGGCAAGGCATCGGCAACAACAACAACAAAGCAGTCCCAGACCACACCAAGATAACACATAGTTCCTGAATAAAATGACACATTAACACTGACCCATTGATGCACAGTATATACAAAGTACTCGTGCCGAACTCTACAGAGAAGCCTCTAAAGTCAAGGCAATGCATGCCAGCGTAGTGAGGCCATGTGTTTTTTTGTGCCGAGTGCTACGAAGTGCCAGTCAGGCCACCAGCCAACATGTTGGAGTTGAGACATTTTAATTGTGGCCCATGGTTAACGCTTGTGTTTCTTGGCCTCTTCTCTGGTTCGTTCTAATAGGTAGTGAATTTATTCATTGATTTCTCATTTCTTTTTCTCTTTAACTTTATAAGCTTTTTATTGAATGTATTGCATTTCTGCACGCTCTCAGCAGTCATAAAAAAACATTAATGGAAATGACATGTCACTTTTACAAAAGTCAGATTTTTTCTTAAAAGGTTTTTTTGGGTTTTTATAGGCAGACTGGTCTACTATTGGGAATATTCCTTTAGCATTAAAAATGAAACAGGGGCGTCATGATTCAAAAAGTCAGGTGATTAATGTAGAATCATTATCCATTTACAACTGGTCCTGAGCCAGTGATGCACATTTTATATGCAGGTGGGCAGAGTGCTTATTGGAGCTCTGTTCTCATTCTAAGTCTCAACTTAAAAAATGTCGGTTCAGTCCTGCTAGCCAATCATTATCATTACCTCTCTGGGTCGGTCAAATGCGTACCAACTGGCGAGGCTTATTGCCTTGGTGGGAAGTCAGCGGTGACTAAGTTAATGAAGAAATAATCCCTGTGATAGGAATGTGAAATTTGTACCGCTTTTCCTGGGACTCGCCATTGGTGATGAGCACTGGCCAATGCTAGTTTAAGTGTGGCATCGCGAATTTTGTGCATGCATCGTCGAGCGAACGTTACGGTGCATACATTTTGATTCGCAATGCAATGTAAATCGTGAGCAGGCTTAGATGTATTGCACACGTGTGTGCATCTCAGAGAGTTTGCCAATGGATCTTAGGTAAGTAATCATAGCCCCTGTAAATGGGTCATGCGTGGTCTCATTGACAATCAGGGCGTGAATGTCGGTGAGCCACTTGCATGCTGCTGCTGCTGCTGCGATAAGCAAATTCATTTCATTTTGGAGCGTTGTGTTCTTCCCACAGCTGATTCTTGCTGATGTCTAGGTAAATGGGAACAAGATGAGAACGTATTTATTTCCATTGATGCTTCATCGTGTCGCCAGGCAGGGGTGCGCTTCGGAAGTTCAACTCGACATCTGAAAATTAACACTTTTACGTTTTTTTTTTATTTTCCTGCAATTTTATCGTGATTGCGCTTTCGGTGTAATCACGTGAAATGTCCATTCGGGTCTCCAACAGAGCAGTGCAACCCTGAATGTTATAGAATAGTGGACAAAAGTGGATCCCATCAGACTACTTATAAGGCCCCTTGAAGTGACTTTCCCACCCACCATGCCACAGAGAGTCATGTTTGTCGCTGGATCAAGCCACTATATTTTATTATCATCGATTGAATTTAACCAACTTAGGCGCAGAACCAAATTCAAGGTGACGGGTTTTTTTGCGGTCTCTTGTCAACCTGGCTGAGGCCATCAACTCTCTACACTTGAGAACCCGTCTTAATCACAGGCGACTGCCTGAATTCAAACGCAGCATTCCCACGGTGCCATCACTCAACCATGTGGCCGCCTCCTCAATCTGAATGTTACAAACTCAAATCCCGATTCGGAGTCGGCTCAGCCCCACCGTACCTCTGGGGTCGATGCAATAAGCGCCACCTTTTCGTTGAAGGCTGCAGCGGTTGTTCTATTGCAGAAGCCAACCACAGGAATGCGTAACTTCCACCACTGGCTCGGTGCTGCCAACGCAGACGAGCATTGACAGTGGGGGGGGGGGGACACTTTTTCTATGTGGCCTGATTAAAGGCGTGTGCCGCTCAGACCCAGAGTTACTTTGGCCTCGAATGATGACGGGAGGAAATGTTGTCTGGCTGGGCTTGGCGGCGGCTGCCCGTTTCTCCTGCGCGCACCAAGAGCTGGGGCGAAGGGCCGGGAGCCCCCCGCGGTGTTTGCGCAGGTGCCGTGCGTAATTGGCGCTTGGCAGCTGCCCCAGACCTGCGCCACTACGGAGTGGGCACGCCGAGCCGCTCTCAGGTCTGGTGGGTGGGTGAGCCGGGCTTGGTTTTGATGATGATTTATCGTAGGTGATGGTAATGGGAGAAACCAGTTGTAATTTTGAATAATTTTTTCCCCAAAAACAAGTTGTTCCCAATTACATCCCCCTGTTCAGCTATCACGTGCATGCATAAGGTGATGCGTTTAAAATGTATTCTACTCCTGGGTCAAGGTATTACATAAAGACACGTAAATTAAAAGGTCTGTCAGAAACTGGGTTTCTTTTTAGAGGGTTGGAGAAATGACCCCCACCTGCATGAATACAATATTTCTCATTCGCTGCCTTATAATTCATTTAGAACAGAAAATAATTACGTGTAAATTAATGGCCTCATTTTGAGTTGGTATATTTTTTAAGGAATCAAAAAAATGTCCAATACGATTGATATTCCAAACCATCTATTGTAATAAACAAGACTTTCTCGCAACAAATTCTAATTGTTCAAACCAATAACCTCGTTTATTATGGCGCAGTGGTTAGCGTACTTCACCACTTCACTACCGACACAACAATCTGAGTTTGATCTCCGCCTCAGCTAACATCACTCGTGACAAATAAATATCGGAACTAGTTGTGAGTCTTCCCTTAGTCGGTCTTTTATTCCTCGTGCGGTGTGTGTAACATCAGAACTGGGGAAACAATGGCCGCCTGGCAGAGCGATCACCACACCGCCGCTCCACCGTGTAAGGTGCTCGCCCGATAGCACTTGCCCCAACGGTCTGTTAAAGCTATACGGCGCGGTGTTGGATCTTTTCCTGTGTGTGCGTGCGTGCGTGCAGCCCAAGGGAGTGGTAGTGTAGTGGTTCGCGCGCTGCACTGTGAACCCGGCGAACCGGGTTCGATTCCCACTCACGGCCGCCACCAGTGACGATTGTTTTAACCGGTCCTTGGCCTCCCCTAGGTCGACTCAGCTTCAAATGAGCACCTGGGGTCGGTGTGCAAACATTGTCACTAGGCAGACAAAGGCGGCCGGGCGTGGTGCTGGCCACCTTTTACCCCCCTTCGTGTGCCGTGCCGGGCCTTCATAGGTGCTGCTCACTCGCACCACTTGCCCAAACAGTCTGTTAAGGCCACACTGGGGGGGGGGTGGGGATCTTTTGCCTTTGTGCAGCCCAGCTGGTGTCCCTGCGCGAGGAGCTGGAGTCGCTGCGGCGCGAGAAGGAGAGCGAGCTGCAGGAGGCGCGGCGTGAGCTCACGCAGGTGCTGGAGCAGGCGCGCACGCTGCGCCGCGTGCTCGAAGACACGGCCACCGAGCGCGAGAACGACATCGCCATGCTGCAGGTGCGGCGCCCCGCCACCAGCCCCCGCCCACCCCCCGCGCGCACGCGGGGCTCCCGCTTGCCCACTCGCCGAGCACTCGCTCGCTCGCTCTCCAGTTCGCTCGTTTGCGTTCGAGCAGGTGCCGTTAAATTTCGATTTAAAGCTTTCGTGACTGCAGGGATTTCAACGGAACTAACGGCACCTGTCTTCTTGGTTCTTTCGGTAAAGTCTACGTGACTTTACCGAAAGAACCAAGAAGACAGGTGCCGTTAGTTCCGTTGAAACGCTGTCGTTGAAACGCTGTCGGCATTAGCTTTGACGGCCATTATCGATACAATGCCGGGGGAAGGCCTCGCCAAGCCGTCGCCGTTGGCCACGGTTCGACTTTGCGCCAAGCTCTTGAGCTGATTTCCTCGCTCCGTCTCCGCTGATTTCATCGCTCCATCTCCCTGGAATTGAAATGAATCAGCTTAGGCGAATGCGTTTTGATTTTAATGAGCCGCATCAGTTATCCTACTTGTTAGTGGTAAGCAAGTTTTCAGGCTGCTTCTATTTATATATATTTTAAAAATTGGCTGTTATTATTCACGTATAAAATTCAACAAGTTACACAATTGCGCTGTGTATGTGCAGTAATATTTGTTTATGTAACGTGTCTGGATTAAGATAATTAATGCCCTTGAATTAGTGTTCATGCACATCGCAGTTTACACAACACGCTCAGATTTGGTGTATTTTTAAAATGTTTATAAACATTGTTCACCTGTTTCTATTGTGCTTGTTAACCTCTTGTGTAAAGTATAAAAACAATCTTCCAGCGTGTTATCAGTCTGCTCCTGGGTGAAGGATTTCCCAAGAGGTGTCGGTCATGAGTGCTGTTTGACCATACTTCATCATGCTGGTCAGTCAGGGTTGTAGCCTAGGAATTATTCGGATATCATTTGCCACCGCTGTTGGCCTTGGCCGGTAATGGAGCTCGGCTTGCTCAGCTCATGGTCGCAGTGCGCTAACCACCACAACTCCGCTCCATCTGTTTTACTTTCAGTCGTAATCCCCATGTGCTGATGAAACAATGCCTTGCAGCCTTGCACAAAAATTTCAATTGATGCATTGATAAGATTTTGCCGATGCTTAGGCCACAAGGCATCGAGGGAATTCATTGGCAGTTTCGCACGTCACGACACGCACACCTGTTATCCAGTGGCCTACCTGGAGGTAGGGTTGGTGGATCAATCCCAGAGTAAGCATGTGTGAAACTCCCAACTGCAGGGGCCTGCTCTCCTGCAGGGTGCGATGTCATGTCGTCTCTGTGGCAGTTTGTGTCTTTGGTGTGTACGTGCGGGAGTGGTGGCAGAGTGGTTAGCTTGCTGCGCTGCGAAACCCGATAACCTCCGTTCTCATTCCGTTCACAGCCAACATCGGTGGCGGATATCTGAATAGGGCTTGAGCCTCCCCGAAGTCAACTTGGCCTAAAATCAATACCTGGTGGTGCGCGATGTGCAAACTTATCGGCACTGGGGAGACGAAGGCGGCCGGACGTGGCAGTGGCAACGCCACGCCGTCGTGCGCCGCGCCGGCCTTCACAAGTGCTCGCTAACAGCACTTGCCCCGACAGTCTGTGAAAGCTATCCGGGGGGGGGGGGATCTTTGCCTTTGTGTGTCGCCTGGCAGGAGGAGCTGGGCCGCCTGCGTGCGGAGCTGTTCCGCCAGCAGCAGGAGAAGTCGGATTCAGAGCGGCCGCGCAGCGCTGAGCACGGCTTCACGGACTCCACGCGCCTCCGGGGTGAGGGGGCACGCAACAACATCAACAACAACATCAGCAACAATAACAGCAACAACCAACACTCGTTACTGTGTGACAGTGATGATGTCCCCACAGCTATTTTTTCCAGGCTTGGTGTACTCCTATGCTCACTGGCGGGAGGTCACAGGACGGACCCGGGTGTTCTCGGTTGACTGAGTGTGATGACTGGCAGATGCAATCACTGCACTCCATACTGTGCCAACTTGCTGCGTTTTAGCCGCCTGGCGCTCTGCTCGTTGCTGTGAGCATCATTGTTCCACCCTCCGCTGTTGCTGAAGGGCGACTGCCTCCAACTGCCCAAAAACATCCGACCTGAACTTCCTCCATAGAGGCTGCTTTTGATGCCACTGATACCAGTAATTGGTGAGTTTCATCGGCTCCGAATTCTGTTTCACATCAGCTCATCCATTATTTAGACCGAGCTTAACTCATTTAGCCCCTTCTAGCCAATTAAAAGCTGCTTTGGCACGCGGTGGCTGGAGCTACAGGTTACATTACCCAGCTACTGCAACCTCGCCTGCCAAATGAGCTCATTAATGTGTCCAGATCTCTCAGGGATCCGTGAATTTCTGACACAGTCTGGATTATAGGTAGGCCAGCCTGAAATTTCAAGCCAGCACAGATGATCCGTTGCGTTCTTTCAGCTGGCCAGAACACCGCCATCAGCCAGGGTTTCCAGGGAGGTCTGGACTGGATACCTAGTGCATCCTTAGCAGCTGCATGATCGGCATTCATTCCCCTGAACAAAAATTGGAGGGGGGGGGGGGGGCTGCCAACTCCAGCTGCAAGCAATGATCACATTCTTGCTTACATCTTTCAACAGCCAACTGAGACCAGGTTATTGTGATTTAATTTGCCGTCCCTAGATAGTGTCTACTCCCACAGAGGAAGACCGGCAGGCACATGTTACAGATGACAAGTTGATTGTGAGTGGGTAGATCAACTCCACGGTAGGCCCTGGTGTCAAGGTTGTTGCATTCACAGTTCCGCCATTCCGTGGTCCGACAGATGTCCCTGCTTGGACCCGCCCTGCACTCAATATGTTGTGTGGATTTGCCGTTGATGGAACAGCATGGTGGTGGTTGCATATATGAAGCAGCCTCCTATCATTATTCGTGAACCTATCTGGCCAATGCATTCTAATCTAACCAAGCATCAGCATGATGACCCACTCAGGAATTAAAGTCACCCATTAAGATGACTCTATCCCGAGGGGCCACTTTAGCGAGCACCTGGCAGCAGAGGTCAGGAGGTCATAGAGGGCATTGATATTTGTGTGGGAGAGCAGGGTATACACAGAGCATGGATAAACAGACAAACACCACGTGTATACAAACACACACATGTACATTTATACATGTGTTGATGTTCAAGTGCTGTTGGTGTTCACGTAGCCATATTACCTATGACAGCCGGCACACCGCATGAGGAGGTGCGGTCAACACCACGCACAGACACAATAACAGCGACAACAGCCGCCGTTTGCCACTAAGTGGCGGTGACGCCACCACAGCACTTGTGCTAGGCTAGGCGCACTTTGAGGCCACTCGAAGTGTCGAAGGCTCTGTGACAGGAGGTCATCGGACAGGCCCACGCGTTGCAGGTTAACTGCCTGACATGACCGACAGATATCCACCGACATACACGTACAAATACAACAACCGCCATTAGCCAACTCAGTGGCGGTGACGTCACCACGGCGCTTGTGCCAAGGTATGTGCGCTCTAAGGCCACGTGAAGTGTCGAACGCTCGCTGGCAGGAGGTCACGGAACATCTGCCGGTCATCTCAGGTACGTCGACCCTGGGTTGACTACCTGAGATGACCGTCAGATGCACACGTACACATATACACACAGACAGAGACACATGTATACGCGCAGTCAGGCACACATGAGTACTCGCGCGCACACACACGCACAGCTTCCTGCCCCAGCGCCTCTTTGGTAGCTCCTGCACTTTCCTTGACCCTGGGAGAGGTTGTTTGCGTGGTCTCCGGGGCAACCCGCGAGCAACAGGCAGCCTCCACGCACAATGAGGCTGTTTGTTAATTTGGGGTGTGTTCGCGAAATTCCACAACACGGGAGGGGGTGAGGGGGGGCCTTTTCCTTCCTCGCTGTAGCCCCCTCTAGTCCCCCCCTCCACACCCCCCCCACCCCCACGCCCTCAACCAGGAGCCCACTTCAGCCTCGGGTTTTCGTCGGGGGAATTTTAATGTGGCTCTTATTTCATCAATCCGCCCGGAGGGGGATCCAGCCCTCGTGTGACAAGGAGCCCGTTTCTAATTTGGGCTCATGCCTTGAAAATCATCCACGTCGCGCCCATCTCTCGGCCGCCCGCCCCGCTCCAGATGCGCACCATACGGATTTTTTTCCAGAGCGCTGTGTACATGCACACGCGTGCTCGTGTGTGTGTGTGTACATGTGGGTGGTTAGCTTGCTCATGCTGCTGAAATGCGAGCTTTGGTTTTTGCTGTAATTTGCTGCTCGTGACTCACTGTCGTTGTCTGCTCCCGTACCCCGGAGTAGACTAGGGGAGGGATAACGCAGTGAAGATTGCAAGGATATTAGGATTGTATGGTGATTGGCAGGAAGTAGCTGGTGTACATGGATTGCACATGTCTGTGTGTTGTTAAATCTACAGTGGCAAAACGTGTCGGGTACAGAGGTGATTGAGGGAGTAACTTTGCCTTGAACTGTCTTCGTCAATGATAACATGCAGGCAGAACATTATGGCAGAAAGTATCAGGAGAAATCCCAGCATGTTTTGCACGTTAAGATGAATTCCTTCATTATTACAGGAATCAGAATCGTTATTTATCCTGGAGAAATCTGATGAGCTATGAAGCTCTTTTTAACAGATGTCCAGTAGGGGCAGGTCATAAATGTTTCAACAACAAATAAAAAACACATGAGTGCAAAGGATGGGAAAGCCAAGCAAATTACTAAATATAAATACATAAACTACAATTTTTTTTTTACTTTACCAGGAAAGTCCCACTGAGCTATCAGGTATTTTTCAGAAGCGACCTGACTATCACAAATGATAGCTCAACAAAGTGGCTTGTCACGTGACATTTATATCAGCCGAGTAATCTTAAACGCATGTTGATTCTGAATGTGGAGATAGAAACCGGAGGACCCGGAGAAAACAACGATACCACGTGGCCAAGGGGAGAACACGCGAACTGATAACGCGCACAAAGTGAATAGAAATGGGACGCTCAAAGGCGTGGGAGATTCACTTGGAGAGAGAGAGAAAGAGGTCTTGAGGATTCCCACAGAAGGCCGCCCGCCGCTGCTGCGTGTCACAGTGAGTGAGTGACTAAGGAGGAGGAGGAGGGAGTGATTTCCAGACGAGCGGAGAAGCGATGTTCGCTTCGTCTGGTTCCAGAGACGACACGGGGCTTGGCTAGGGGGGACCACTCGGACGTAGCACGTGTTGAACTTCTTTTGCACCATACGCAGCCAACCGTGCTAATCAGAGGTGCGGTTGGCACGGTTGGCGGACCCGCGAGGTTGCATTCTTGCGCTTTGTCTCTGCCGCAGCCTGGTGATGGCCAGCAACTCGAGAGAGCCGGGGTTTGCGAAATGTATCGCCTCCGATTAGGACTCATCGGTACAGACTAGCCGTCGTTGCACACCAGTGCCACTTGTGGCCGCGAAGCTTGCGTTGAGCTGCTCTCTCCCTGCGCTGTGGAGACGTTCTCCGCAGGCTCAATGGCATCAAGCCACCTACTTCTTCCTGCTCACACTCTGAAGAAGCGATTCAGCAGCCAAACAATGCGTGCGGGTCCAGAAACAAGCGATGGCGTACTTCACACAAAAACACTTTCACGCAGAAAAAGCAAAACATGACATGAATCTCAGCGAACATGTTGGTGATTTTTAGCACCATCATCGGCAATTTCATTTATCGCCAGTAACAGCATTATTAAAAAAAAAATGTTTTACCAGGTAAGGCCCACTCAGGTCTCTAGCTCTTTTTCAGAAGCGACCTTGCCACAAATGATGGCTCAACAAAGTGGCTTATCACGTGGAATGTATAGCAGACAAATACTGTAAACTCAAGTTTCTAAATGCAGAGGGAAAAACTGGAGGACCCGGAGAAAAATCTGCGCGGCTACGGGGAGAGACATGCAGGCGTCACGGTCAGGATTGAACCCACGACCTCCAGTACACCAGGGTGAGGTGGTTAACACCTCGCCACCGCGGCGCCCCAATACAATTAGCACACAAAGAGCAGCGTGACCGATGATGGAGAAAACGCGAAACGCGAGTTATAAATGAGCAAATTGCTGGGTTTTTACACCTCGTCGCTCGGTGACCCCCCCCCCCACCCCCCCGAGCGCTGGCGACATCCCAGTCCAGCTCTCGCATTGTGCCCAGTGCACGCCAGAAACCGTGCCGGGCCTGGCAGCAGAGCTCCTCGATGTGTGGACCGCAGCCAAACCCCGCAGGCGGTCCGTGCTCAACGCTCAAGCGACCGTCGGCTTCTGTGCGTCGTCCACAAAACCAAACGCTCGTGCCTCCTTCCGCCTCGGCAGCGATGGGCCTCTGGCTCGCACGCACGAGGAGGGAGGCCATTACCCTCAACCCTTTCCTTGAGCTCGCCCCCCTCCGGCCCCACCAAAGACAAAGATTCCCCATGTAGCCGTTAACAGATTGTTAGTGGCGATAGCGAGCACCTATGGCTGGCCAGTACTGTACACGCCCGCCCGCCCGCCTTTGTCTCCCCAGTGGTGATTTTTACTTGCCACACTACGTACTCATTTGAGGCTGAGTCAACCTCGGGCCAGGATCGGTTCAGATAGATCATTAATCGTTACCGATGTAAGCCGTGAGCGGGAAAAAATCAAACTCAGGTCACGGGGTTTGGATTCGTAGAGCAGCGCGCTAACTGCCGCGCCAACGCTCCCCGCCCCCACAACCACCACCTCTTCATTCAGCCCTCGGGAGCCCTGCCTTCTTCCCCGTTAGTTTGACCGTCTTCGCTTGCGCGGAGCGAAAATTCCAAACCCTGGGGTCTCGAGCACAGACTCCCAACACAGATGCGCCGCCACGGCCTTTCCAGCGTGCACCGTCTGGGGCGAGGAAAAACAGATCATATTTCGGCAGGGAAAGAATAATAGACGGATCCCTATCGCACCCATATGCAACGCATATGGCAGAACGCATGTATGTACCGTACGTGAAGCGTGCGTGTTTGTTTGTGTGCGCGCGCATAGGTGTGTGTGGGTGGAAACGTAGCGTGGTGGTTAGCGAGCTTCACTGCGCTACGAATCCAGCCACCTGAGTTCGAGCTCTGCTTACAGCCAGCATCGGTGACGATGTATCTGAATAGGTCCTGGGCCTCGCCTAGATCGACTCAGCCTTAAATAAGTACCTGGTGCGGTGTGTCAACGTCGGCATTGGGGAGACAAAGGCGGTCGGACGTGGTGTTGGCCACTCGCATGTCTGTATAGGCCTTCATAGGTACTCGCTCAGAGCACTCGCCCCAACAATCTGTTAAAGGCTACTTGGGGGGTCTTTGTATGGGTATGCAATGTGCGTGTTGTGGCGAGTGTTGGTCGGCAATGCACTGCAATAATGCGAGTGACCTTGGCTCCGTTCCTTGCCATGCGCAATGCTGGTTGCAATTAGTATCAGAACATGGGGTGACCTTCTCGAGGTCAACTCAACCTGAATTTAATGAGTTCCTCTTACAGATATTCATCAGCAGTGGGGTGACAAAGATTGTTGAGTACGTGCATATTGGCCACGTAACCTACTCACATGTTTTGCGTTGACTTTAATAGGTGCTCACAAACAGCATTTGTCCCAACATTCTCCAAGGTCGAATGAGCAGCACCATGTGTGTGTGTGTGTGTGTGCAAATAAGCGCAAGTTAATCAATGTGCCTGTGGCTGTCTTGAGATCTGTGGCATGGATCAGTGGTACAGTGGTCAGCACATTGTGCTATGCATCCAGACACCCGAGTTCAAACCCCGGCCATCGATAACATCGCTCTCTGATATCTGATAGAGTCTGGGAGTCGTTGATACACCAGCCTGCACTTACCAACGTGGTGAAGTATGGTTAGAAACCCTCATCATGGCTGACGATATCATGTAGGTTGATAGAGGAATATACATTACTGTTATTATCATTGTGCATGTAAATCATCATTATTATTATGAAGTTGTGTATATAATACACTGCATTTGATTGAGCATTGCCGTGTGCGTACGTGTGTGTGCGCGTGCGTCACGTGAAACAAAGCCCTACAGAAATACACGAACGTTATTATATTTTTTTTTTTAACCTGGCCTCAGCCCTGTCCGACTGTGAGTTAGTGGTCTCATAATCCTCCTTGTGTGTGGTTTCAAATCACCTCGCGTGTACGTGCGCACGCGCGCACACACACGTACACGCACGCACGTGGGTGCTGTTATTCCTTGCCGTTTGATGTCGGGTTCTTCCACGTGCTTGCGTGTTTTCACAAGGCTCCTTATTTGCTCACTTTGGGGACCTGTATACGTGCTTTCACACCGGCAAGTTGAAAGTGCGAGCGTTTTTCCAGGGGAGCGTGAGTGCGCTCTTTCATCTCCGTTTGCGCGTTGCCCAGGATGAGTTTCGAGGGGGCGTTAGGTGCATAGCGAAATGCGCGTGTCCCGTTCGTCTTTCAGAAAGCGGGAGGGGGAGCATGCTGGACACTGACCCGTTTAGCCGAGAGTGGACCATTATTATCATCATCATCATCATTATAGTTATGCTTGCTTACCCAGTAAAGCCTCACTAAGTCTCAAGCCGTGCATATTTCGTTCTCTTTATTTTGTTTAACCAGATCAGAACTCAAGAGGCCAGGATTAGAGTCTCAATTGGAAGAGCGAATTGGGTCACCAAAATGGCAAAAGAAAAACAACTTGAAAAATGTCAAGTTCCTCAGGCCTTGACACAAAAGTACAATGAATATGGACGGAGGATTCGGCCCAGCATGACATCTTGATGTTGAATCAGGGTGCCTGTCTGCTCTAACGTGCGTGAAGAATAAACCACAGCACTTAGATTGTGTGTGCGCGTGTGTGGCTCGTGGCCACAGCTGACATGTTTGAACTTTCAGGATGGGCGATTGCTCTGGTGAGTCGGCCTCAAACGAGTACCCGGCGTGGTATGTCAATACCGGCACCGGGGAGACAGCTGCAGCTGAACGTGTCGCTGGCAATTCTACTTCCTTGTGCCAGCCTTAATAGGTGCTGTGTGTGGTCCATGGATCTCCGTAGGCCACGTGGAGAGGCTGGAGGGAGAGTGCCACGGACTGAGGGCAGAGTGCGAGGAGCTGCAGCGAGAGCGCGATTCCCTGAGGGAGCAGCTACACGGCCTGCACAAGGAGATACAGAGGTGGCGTCGCTCACTTGTATGCCCGCCTATGAACTCACCACTCGGCCACTCGCTCATTCAGGACAAAGTTGCCCCATTAGAGCCTGAGCAAGTGTTGTCACTGAGCACCTACGAAAGCCGGTACGTTACGCGAGGGGGTAGGTGGCCAGTCAGCACCACGCCCGACCACCTTTGTCTTCCCAGTGGTGACGTTTATACACTGCACCAGGTACTCATTGGAGGATGAGTTGACCTCGGGGAGGCCCAGGACCGGTTCAGATAATCATCACCGGTGTTGGCCATGAGCGAGAATTGAATTCAGGTTGTGGGGTTCGTAGTGCAGCGCGCTAACCGCTACTCTATTCCTCACCATTCGTTAAGTCATTCACACATTGCTCCAAGTATCCAGCCACATGTTAATTCGCTTGTTAAATCACTCATTCAATTATCCAAACACTCACCTATTAGCTCACTCAATTATACACTCACTTGCTAACTCGCTCACTCAGTTTCCCATCTACCCACCCATTAATGTCGATGACGATGACATCGATGCTGATGATGACGACGACGCCTCCCGCAACCCCTGTGCAGTGCCCGCGTGGAGGAGCAGGAGCTGCAGGAGGTGGTGAGCGGCCTGCAAGCCTCGCGAGACTCTCTGGCGTCGCGACGGAGCGCAGGCCCGGCCGCCGCCGCCGCCGCCGTCAGGGACGCCACCCCTGACGGCGCACGCGACGAGAAGGGGAGTTCGCTCGGCGACGGTGCCGAGGGGCCGCGGCGAGCCCCGGGGGAGGCCGCACGTACGGAAGCGGCGCCCGCGGACGGCTCGGAGGCCGGTGGCGGGGAAATCGAGCTGCAGCTGCGGCAGGCGGAGAGCGTGGCCGAGTCTCTGCAGAAAAAGGTAGAGCGGCGCGTGCGGACGGACCGGTGTACATGCCCCAGCGCGGTGTTGTCCTGCAAAGTCAGCGACGGAGCGGCGCTTACGTTAGTTTTACCAGCCTTGAGCCAGCGGTGGAAATTGCATGTTCTAGTGGTCGGGGGATCATTCTGTCCACGGAGCGACCAGTGTTGATGGGCCGCAATTGATGCCCACGTTCTTAACCGTGGAAGGATGATGGGCTGGGTTGAGCCCAAACTGGGATTTTAACGTTTGTACCCTTCTCCTCGTGAAACGTGCACTCTCTCAGCACAGTGACACTGGAGTATGTCGCGTGGATATTCAGCCCAGCTCTGGAGAGTGTGGGAGAAGAAATTACATTTGAAAATCTGAAGATTGAAATGCGCCTTTTTATTTTTGTTAATCTTGTTATACGCGGTAGCTTTTCAATCGAATTCAAATGCAATTTTATGCCTCTGTTTTTATACAGGCATATATATATAGAACCTCAAAGGGAAATGCAAAACTTACGTCCTGCATATGAACACCTCGAGTTCGGTGAGGTGCAGCCACACGACACAAGCGCACAAAGGTGCAGTGTTTGCAATGCAGGTGTCTGTGGCTGCGATAAATATTATTTATCTCCGTGATGGATCACTTGGCCCCCGCAACGCGAGGTTAGAGCCGTTGCCCCCCCCCCCCACCCCACCCTTGTTATTGCTGAAGAGGTCAGCAAATGTACCCACGCCGTTCCGCACCCACGGAGACAAGGATGCGGATCGTTGCCACGTACAGAAAATGAGAAGGGCAAAGCGAGCACAGCGGGGGAAGGACGAGGGGAAAGGTCGGTCAGCAATTGCAGGAAACCTGCGCGTGAGCTGCAGATGAATTGGAGAATTGGTGTCGTCAATTAAACTGTGAAACGGGCGCGCTGATGACGCTCACTGTTGCGCCATGTGTATATTTCAGCAGTGAAGCGTCATGCACGATCGTTATTGTTTCATTTGCCACATGCACAGCGGGACTGTTTTGCTCATTTACGTTTTGTATGCACTTTGTAGAAGGTTGGTGTGTGTGTGTGGTTAGCGGTAATTGATGGGAGCGACAGTGTCGTGGTCAGCGCACTGCACTGCATACTTGGCGACGAGGGTTCCATTCCCGCTCAGGGCCAACACCGGTGACAATTTTATCTGAACCGGTCCTGGGCTTTCACTAGGTCGTCCTTCGCCTGAAATGAGTACCTGGCGCAGTGTGTAAACATCAGCACCGTAGAGGTAAATGCGGCCAGGCGTGGTTCTTGACCACACCAGCTTTTTGTGCACCTTGCCAGCCTTAATAGGTGCTCGCTAAGAGCAGTCTATCTGGTTTTGCAAGGGGCCTTTGTGGCTTAAGGGTTCCTAAAACGATTACCCGAATAACATTTGCAGTGAAACGAGTTCCTGTTAGATGAATCCCTTGCCTGCCCACCTGACTTGACAATTAATTGAACAGGTATGCAAACTCTTGATGATTCGCAATGCAAGATGTTGTTTATATTCTGGAATTCACAACATTTGTCCGGGATTGAAGATCGAGCTCAAGTTGACCCAACCACAAAGTAGGGAAGAGGGATGTTTAGAAAAAATAAAACCCAGAGAAGAACAACCACCATGGTATTTGTACCTGTCAAATAAACCACAGATGTTTCCTACCCACTGTGGCATCAAATAAAAGTCTGAGCACTTTTCTCTGCACAGATGTCCTGCCGCCTTCAAAAGGCTCTCCGAACCTGCGTGCCAATTCCCACATGGCCACACCGAGGCTGTTTGTTGCAAACATCCTTGAGGTTTTTTTTTTATTTTCCCGTGTTTGCGTCTGTTCCTAATCCTGCACCTGATGGTCATGGTGGATGTGTCGCATCAGGGCGATAAACAGTGTCCAGAATGTCAAACACGTCTTCCCGTAAGGATTTTGGAATCTTGTGCCAAGGTCATATTGAGCATTGGCATACAAATGAATGCTTTGCCAATGACCAAATCACCCAAGATGCATTCAATCTCCGAAGCACAAGCAGGGGGTTCAGCCTGGTTAGTGCGTGGATGGAAGGCTGTCCCAGGTGTTATAGGCCTGTGCCGTGCGGTGGTCAGCAGATGGCAGAACAGCGGTGGATTCTTGAATTTGTCTGTGCACAGTTTTGAGTGCTACTCCTTCGTGTGAGGGTATTCTCTGGGCCCTCCGGTTTCCTCCCATGTGAAGCCAGGCACTCGTTCATCAAATTGACCACACATCCCAATGCGGCTCATCGTGAAAAAGAAGTGTTGAGGCTTAGTGAAGCTTTTTTCAGTAAATCAATTAAGTTTATTGTCTTTGTAATTATGAATACACAGATAGATTGGTAGGAATATTGTTCTTGACTTAACGCTTAAACGTCCGAGTTGATGAATGTGCAGAGCATGTTTACAAATGTTAACTGGATTCAAATGGTAGCTGCGAGTCAAAGCTCTTAACCAGCATATCTGGGATCATGGGTTGGAATCCAGGCAGCTGCTGCTCATAATTAAACTTTAAGAGGTGCTCGCTAATAGCACTTAGCACGTTGGTCGAAACGACTCAAACGGTGGCCCTTTGTCTTTGCTGGTGCCAAAAGCACTCACGTTACAGACCTCCGTCGTGTAAAATGACGAAGCCCCTCTTCTGTGTCGTACTCATCCAGTGGAACTCGTTGGGAGCCTGATCGCTATGGAGGGTCACCGATGACACTTTGTGTGTGCGTGTCCGTGCGTGTGCGGGGAGCGGTAGTGTAGTGGTTACCGCACTGCGCCACAAACCTGGCGGCCTGCATTCAATTCCTGCTCACGGCTAACATCAGTGGTAAATACCTGATGATTACCTTATTCGGTATGTAAACATCAGCGCTGGGAAGACAAAGATGGCCGGGTGCGGTTCTTGCCGTACCACGTCGTCGTGCCGACCTGCATAGGTGCTCGCTTAACAGCACTCGACCCCAACAGTGTGTTGAGGCTTACACGGCTCCTTGTCCGCTGTGCTTGTCCCCCAGTGCACGGAGGCGCAGCTGGAGCTGGAGGCACTGCAGGAGCGACACCAGGCCACCGAGCAGGAGACGCGCAGCCTGCACGAGGAGCTGGAGCTCTGTCGCGAGAAGCTCGAGAGATACCGCAAGGTCAAGGTGAGGCCCATCAGCCGCCCCGCACTCGGTGGGCGGTCGCTTCGTAATCAGCTCGTGCCCCCCCCCCCCCCTTGTCTGGAAAGCTCTCTCCCTTCACCGTCCTCACTCTTCATGTTTAGTTGTTTATCCTGTCCCAAGTCCAAACCTGAGTGTCTCTCTCTACCATTGGAACTTCATTTGCCAGTAAAAAATATGATAATTGGTTTTTTACCCTTCTATCTGATAACAAAACTGACCCTTTTTTTTTTTACAAGGAGTCATGTTTGCATAGACCACAATACCTGCAGTCATAATGCAAACAAAAAACATAACTCTGATAATGTGCACTGTCCTTGAAGTTGATTGGTCCACACCCGAGACAGCTTTCTTTAGAGCCTAGTCTCACATGGGTTGGACCAGATGACGCCAAAAGTCAAATACAATGCACCATCAGAGTATGAGAGCTCGGGGTAAGCATTTACACCATTGGAACCTCATTTGCCAGTAAAAAATATGATAATTGTTTTTTTACCCTTTTATCTCTATCCAATGTTTTCATTTTCACAAGTTTTTTATTTCAGTCTTCTTTCCGCCGCAACAAAAAAAACTTCCAAGCAATCGACTTCCATGTCTTACCTCTATCCAAATGAAAACATTAATATAAATACATCCTTTCACCCTCCCCCCCCCCGCCTCCTTTTCCCCATCCCCTCTACTCCCGATTTTAAGTTGTTTCTCCCCTGCCTTCCCCATCCCACATAAAAGTGCGTGCTCCCACTCGCTGTCCCTATCTACGTGGGGCGGTGAGCCCAATTTCTCCCCGCCCTCTAAACCCAGTAGCACAGAGTTCGGGACTTGTGGAGTTTCTGTGTGACCTCCCCATGTCACGGTTTGTGCTTCTGTACCGGGCCCATATTGAATTTATTTTATTCCATCCTCCCAGACTATTATTATTTTATTCCGCCATACGATGAGCAAGTTCCCATACCGTGCACAGCGTCGCTTGTTCTCCATCAAAGCCTGTGCCGTATATCTCAGGACCTCTTGAGGCATGGTTGCACGAACGCAAGCCTTTAATATGGCAACCTTGAAATTGGGTCAGTGGATGCAATGAGAAAACTAACCCACGTGTGCCGACTCCAAGTTTCCAATGCCACTGTTGGAAACATAAGTCCGTGTAACAATCACACACAGATATATTGCGCGTTTGACAAAACGTGGCCGACAATCGCACGACCGTTCGAATTCATTCGTGCGCCACAAAATGCGAAAGCGCACGAAGCAATCTGGACTGGATTGTCTCACGCTCCGTCAATTCCGATGTCGTGGATTTGGCAGTTGCGTGAAAAATGCGACACGGACCCTGCGCTCGCTCGTTTGCTCATCCGAAGCCGTGCAGGCGATAACAGCGGAGGTGTCTGAGAGATAAAATTTCAGCTCAGGTGTTGTTGGCAAAAGCGGGCAACTGTGTACATATCGGTTTCATCAAAGGCTCTGTCAACGTAAACAAGACGCCGGAATGGTACATATAACATGACATCACCGTCGCGAAGCCAGCTCGAGACGAAATAAATAAATAGCGCGGTCCCCGATAGTGTTTTATTTTTTTGGGCGGCCTGTTGTCATCTCGCATGTCAAATTATGGCGCTGAGGAACGCCACGTAAAGGAGGTCTGTTATCACTGGCAGCGGCAACACTCGATGGAAAGTATCGTGCGACGTTGACGGCGCCCGACGGCGGTGTCGATGGCGGGGCTGAAAGAAGCACTCGTCCCCCGCAAGTGAACGCCTTGCTGAAAGATTGCGCTGCTGAGGCCAAGCAGTCTTGCAGTCAACTGCTCGCCACCGAGACGGTGTGCACGGTGCCACAGGTTCGATTCCCGACAGAGCTGCCCCGTGATGCTATAAAGTAATCGTCTATGCGTCCTGCGGTCTTCGCGGCCGTGTGTGTGTGTGTGTGGGGGCGAGTTCCACCTGTGGGGAGGATGGTGGCATGCAAAGAGATGGGAGAGTGTGTCTTTGAGTACAGCTGCAGCTCCATACTATTAACATTCCTTCCCTTTATTAATGCTAGCCCTACTCCCTCCCTTTGATGCTGCTAATCCTGCATAATGCACGGGCATAATATGACTTTGAAACCCCCCGCCCACCTCCTACGCATTCCACAAGTAGTGACTAATCCCATATCTGCATTTCCCATAAATATTCTAAATTCCTATTGATATGCAAACTCCTTTGTCAAGGCGCTCTTCCCCCTCCAACCCAGCTTAAATATATGCTGCCAAGCCTGGTGGTGTTCATTCAGACGCTGTCTTTCCGACAGCCCTGTTCTTCACCTGAGGACGGCTAATTGCGTTGTGGCCGAAACGTCGTGAGAATTATTTTATTATGTTTTATTTTTATTATTTTATTATTTCCCTTCTACGTGACTTTACCGAAAGAACCAAGAAGATACAGCAAGGGTGGCCGCTGACTTTTCTCTCTGGCGCTTGTGTAGCATTCCACTTTGGGCGTGGGTTTTTCCTCCCGCGTGTTAAGATAACTTCCCGTAAAACTATCCAAATTCACCTTGATAGACACTGAGCCTTTCCTGGGTAAGTATATATATATAATTTAGACAAATGTAATGACTGCTAAACGGATGGTAATTATATTATTACAGATGCAATAGTATTCAGCATCGCTGCATGTAAGTGCTCATATCTTGTACATAATGTGTGCAGGCAGAATTTGATCAACGGGGGGGGGGGGGGGAGGGGATGTGGTGGGAGACTGGGCGATTATTTATTGTCTACTCGAACCGGCTTTCTGGAGGAGGGCGTGTGGCGGTTAAGAACGCAAGGACAGAGAAGCAGCGACTATAAGCGCTGCCTTTAGAAACAGAGGGATTTTCAGGTCTTTCGAGTTTCCAAACGATCGTACGTACGTGGCAAAGTTTGTGAAGGGAGCGACCGCCAATCTCGGCCGATGTACAGGGGAACACATTGTCTTGTCTGCGGGTATAAATTCCGGTGATGAATTTTGAATTTTTTTTTATAAAAAAAAAAAAATTGCTGACATTGGATCTCACACGTGATGGGGTGGGGAGAGATTATTCCTTTGAATTTCACGAGAACGCACGTCTGCACAACAGGCGACTGGTGGGTGGCCGCGTTGGGCGTAATGAGGCTTTAATGTGCGGTGTGTTTACGCCATTGTGCCTGATTGCGTTTGCCCTCGTGCAGGTGTGAAGCAATAGTTGGTCAAACAGGGAGGCCTCGTTTCACGCAGAAGTTGCAGGCTCATTATTGGTCTCCGAATGAAGATGGGTTTTTTTGGCTTTTCAAATTACGTTCAATTTAATTAAAATCTTGAAGGTATTAATGTATGTTATACATACATTAGACATAAAAACAACATTTTTGTATTTTTTATTTGACCAGGTATGGCCTCCACTGAGCTATGTAGCTCTTATTCAGAAGCGTCCTGGCTATCACGAATGATAGCTCAACGAAGTGGCTCATCACGTGCAAATGTATTGCAGCCAAATACTCTAAACCCGTACCAATGCATTGTTTAAATTAGTTTCACAAACACCTGTGCCACACAAATCGCGCCGTGTGTACGAGAATCGTTTACCATTCACGCGATTTATATCTAAATGAGATGGCCATATTCTTAGGTTTTTTCGGTAAAGTCACGTGACTTTACCGAAAAAACCTAAGAGTATGAATCCTTGCAGTCACGAAAGCTTCAAATCTAGAATGAGATGGCCATGTTACACGAAAGATAATGAAGTGAACAGAATCGTACACGCAAATGACATTGTAAAAATTAGACACAAGAAGTGAGCGATTCTTGAATTGAATCGTGACCGCCCCCCCCCCCCGAATCGTTACAGTTCATTGAGTCGTGGTGCTGATGAATGATTGCGGTATCCAGAAAAAGGGACCTGCGTGTGCAGTTGAACGCGTTCCTTTCTTGACAAATATTTGAGAGTGTCGACAGAGTTCCCGGAGAAGGCCCACACACAGTGATGGGGAGAACACTCCGATGACAGATCAGGTCACAATCCCAGTTCCTCTCCAGGCACCTCGTTTGTTTCCCCAAGATGAGTGTCTCACACCGTCAATAGCTCCATCGCCACGCTAATCACCAGCTCCTGCCTCGGTGGCTGCGTTACAGCCAGCCATCCATCGCCGCCGCCACCACACCCCCGGCGAACGCACACTTATCCGACACAAAGCGCGCGAAAGGTGAGCGTCGGGTGACCTTGACGGGTCACTTAACACCACTCGCGGGAGGCTTGCGAAACACTTTCAGCTGCCCGGCGATTTGGTGGCTGAGCGGGTGTTCATTTTTAAGCCTTAAATTGAGAATGACAACGCAGTTGTCGGGGCTTGAGAGACGTGTGGTCGATTGAGGCGGATGGTGACGTGCGCTTTGGCGAGAGGGCGCGCGTGTGTGTCGCGAGGCACCTGGGGATTAGCTAATGATTGCGGTATTCCTGCCCGTGTGCTCTTTGGATCATGGGCATGGTAAGCGCGCCAGGGGAGGTGGGCCGCTGCCTTGGGATTGAGTCGATGTTCAGTGGTCGTTGAGCTGCATTGGCTTCCAGTTGCCGAACGACGAGGTCGCACTCGTTACACACAAAGGACTTGCCACAAATGAACCATGCTGATCTCGTCAGGGAGCATACACCATCATGCAAACTCCGGGCATCCTCGCAGTAGTTTTCGGCTAGCCATCGAACAGAGACGATCACCACGTGGCACGTTTTCAGATTCGCTTCTGCGGCCATCTGGAACGCGCTCTCCCTTCCTTTAATAGGAAGACACTGGAGCTACGCACTTTTAAATCATCTAGATTGAAAACTCAGTTCTTTTCGAACTGCTTTTTGTGATTAGTTTGTTGTCCTTCACCAGCACCTTCAATTAGCACGGTTGGCTATGTACGCTACGAAAGAAGTTCTACATACATACGACGTAAATACAGGTGCAGTAGTTGGAGCAGACAGAATGGGAGGGTGAAAATATTCGTCAG